TTTGAACTAAACAGATTTTCTATTAGCTCCAGATCTTGATCAAAGTTTGGCACCCAGTTCATAGGAGTGCTTATATTGATTTTCTGACATCTTGTTTTCTGTAAAGATTTATTGGTAGGTTTGCAAATGTGTATCAGACTGTGCAATCTCTCCATGAGTTGGTTTTGAAACCCAGTAAGGGATTCTGAGATACATTACCAAGGATATTATTACAAGATAAATCATTTGCTTCATTGAACACATACAACAATCTGAATGCATATTTCCACTGAGATCAGTGACCTTTGATGTGTATCACCAGTGATCAGTCAAGTAGAAACAGTCAAAATATTTTATCAGTTTTTCTCAATTTTTGCATGATATTTTCATACAGGACATCTGTTGTTCAAACTCAGGGAAGACTTTATACTGATGAACAAGGTGACAAAGTTTGATGAAGTTTGGAATAGAATTAGTAAAGTTATCATGCACACAATAACAATTATTAACGACAACGCCGGACAAAATTTTTCCCTTAATATACCTTTCCCTTCCATCTTTGATGGTACGGGCAAGGTAAAAATGAACAAATCTGATAGAGGTCCACATGTAGTACCTATATGTATAATATATCAAAGCAATTGGACTTGCGGTTTTCAACAAGAAGTCGAAAATATCACTTTTTACCAAAAATTACAAAAATATTCATCAAAATTAGAGAATTAAAGATATCATCATGAAATGAACAAATCTGAGAGAGGTCTACCCAAGGTACATATACACCAAGAATCAAAGCATTCAGGCTTGTAGTTTTCAAGAAGAAGTCGAAAAAGTAAAACATTGACACGGACGACGACGGCGGACAATCACTCATATGATAAGCTCCGCTCGACAAAGTCGACAGCGATGCTAAAAACCTATTACAGAAATGTATAAACATTGGGGAAAAACCATCTTACTTAGCCTATTACAACTTATTGTAATTTTTGTGATAATGCAGCATCAGCACAAACACTTAAAGGTTGAAAAGCAGGCAACACTTGAAAACGCAATTAAAAAAAAGATGCATCTTACATTGGCTTGTAATGTTGCATCAAATCCAGCTTCTACACCCTCCTCTTCTTCTTCTTCCTCTTCTTCATGCTCCTCACCAAACACATCTTCATCATCCTTTAAAACAAGACAAACAAAATGAAACTCGGTACAAACAAATAAAGCCAGATTGTAAAATGTGGAAATCTCACGATCTGTTGTCATAATGAAAGCTTACATCATTGTCAGATTCCTCAAATTGTAAGTTGACACCAATCTTCTGATCAACGGCTTCATCTGTAAAAAAAAAAAAAGGAAACTCAAGTCAAATTAGAAATTGAAACTTTAATCTCAGTAATGTCACACCTATAAGTGCTCAGAGTCATTGCAAAATTCATTTGATACAGAGTGTAACTTTCACTTTTTTTTATGTATACTCCTAGTAAAGTTTACAATATGTGACAGCGTTTGGAGAGCATATTAGTTACATTGGTAGGTCCATGATATTACTAACATCTGGTTCGCAATATCAGCAGTATAAATAACTTCATTTTATCCACTTATTTCTACGTTTATTGAATGTTTTAGTTTAGTCAAATATTACCCTATATCTTAAAAATTGCTCTTGCTAGTTACACCAAAACTGAACTTGACTGACATTTCATAGTGATTGATAAAATTCCCAAACTTGAAGATATCATCACGAAATGAA